AAGAAAGGTTTAAACTGTTTAGTTTGCAGTTACTATGAGTAAGTGCTTCAGTCAAATGCCTCACACCTTCTTCTCTAATTTCATTATCATGAAGGTTCAATCTGCGAAGTTTGGCATCGTTACATTTTTTGTCACTAATTGCAAGCAGCGGCTGAATCTGTTTACAACCCAATGGCCCAAGATTGTTGTTGGTCAATTCTAGGCTTATTACGCTGTGACTATTAAGCAAATTTACTAATCCTAAACATTCAACAGGTCCGATTAGGCAGTTACTAAAATTTGCTGCATTAAAACCGATTTGGCGCAGCTTGGTTTGTAAAATTGGATCGTCCACATCAATCTCATAAAGGCACATACTTAAGGCCACAACAAGATTGCGATGCGTTCTCAGTGGCCAAAAGATGAGTGTACTGCGAACGTTCAAATCAAAAACTTCATCATCGTCAAACGCTGCTTTCCATTCCCATTCATTAAACCTTTCTGTTGATATGGGAAGAGCGTCAACAAAAATGCGTGAAAGTGATTCCTCTCGCTTACCAAGCAGTCCAGCCAAAAACTGCAGAACTACATGCCATGCACCTTGTGTGATCCTATAGAGAACAAATTCTCGCAGTTCTTCTCCACTCATGGTGTCGGCGACATACTTGGCAGCAAGAAATTCCTGAATGGTCAGGTGCATAAAACAGAACTGAGCTTTAGCTTTTTCAAATGGACTATCTGCTGAAGCGCATAAATCAGGTAGACGATGGAGCAGGCCGCAATCCTCCAATCCTTCAACTTGTTTGGACTCAAAGATTAGTCTACCCTCTTTTATTCCTGTGAAGGCGATTTCTCCCAGTCGATTGAACTCCGCTTTCACACCATCGGGCAGGTTCTCAAATTTCTCACGGATGAAGTCAGCTTGACCCTGGTATTGCTTATAATTGCGGGAGTGCTTGAAATAGAACATCTTAATGGCGATGCTGTAAATGTCAGTGAGTTTCGTGGGAAGAATCGTCGATACATTAGACTTCAGTGTCTGTAGGACGTGAAGCAAACATGTGCATATTATAAAACAGTTTACAGGAACATAGCACAAGGAAAAAATGTTAAGATTGCTGCAGATGTGTTGCCAAATTGTTCTTCCGGTACCCTCTTCTTCATCTGCTGTGAATTTGTTAACATAGTCTTCAACTTGTTCTGATGTAAATCCAAGAATTTCAACTGTTCTCTCAAAGTCGAGATGTTTAACAAATGACACAGCAGTTGGTCTTGTAGTAGTTAAAACTGTGGCGCCCCCTAAAAGTTTACCCGAGGCTATCTTGTTGTACAATGCAGGGAATGACATCTTCGCGGTAACATCGTTAGGTTGATAAGAGTCACTGCATTCAGCGATTTTTATCTTAAATTTAAATTCGTCCACTCCATCGAAAATCAAAAGTACTTTGGTTGGGTTTTCGAGAACATATTTCCAGACAGCATCCTCATTCACATCCCGTGAATACTCTGAATCAGCCAGTAGTTGACGAAGGGTGAGCGGTTTCTTTATCGAGTTCATTCTCCTAAATTTAAGAAGAAAAACGGCTTTAAAGTTCAACTGGGAATTTTCTGTTTCTGTATCTGATGCCCAGTCCCGAAGAAGCTTAATGCAAAATAAACTTTTTCCAATCCCGGGACGACCGACAACGAGAACATTTTTATGGTGAGCATCAATAATATCCCACGGGTGAAATAATGGTGAATTCTCATTGGGTTTGGGATATACGTTTAATTGTTCCTGCCTGTCTTCAGGGAAGTCGTATTCAACTCTGCCTTCGTGAATAATCAGATTGGTGTAAATTTGGTCGATTTTTAAGTCTTTGGGTAGCGTATTTCCTTCACCTGGATTACGACGAAAGGGCGATTGAAGATCCCTGAGTCGCTCAGTTTCTCTTATGATATTGTCTTTCATGGCCTGGAACAGTGCTTGTTTCTGAAGCAGCGGTGCTTGATGCTGTTGCTGCGGTTCTTGTTGCTGATGCTGCGGTGATTGTTGCTTCGGCAGCGATGATTGTTGCTGATGCTGCGGTGATGGTTGCTGATGCTGCGGTGATGGTTGCTGATGCTGCGGTGATGGTTGCTGATGCTGCGGTGATTGTTGCTGATGCTGCGGTGATTGTTGCTGATGGTGCGGTGATGGTTGCTGATGCTGCGGTGATTGCTGCTGTAGCAGCGGTGATTCTTGGCATTGTTGTGAATGCCTTTGCTGCTCCGGTTGAACACTGGCGTGTGATCTAAGGTGAAAAGCGTAAAATGGAAAATCCTCCACTAACCTCCTTTTTTTCATTACACGTGTGAAGATATAGAAAATCTCCATTAACACAAGAAACGCAAAAATTCCATTCACAACGATCACGGCGTAAATCCAGAAGTTTTTGAACGTTGCTCTTTGATTGTGGCACTCGTAAGTTTGAGTCTGTGTGATATTCTCAGATCGCTGGTCTTTCCCCATTAAATCACAAGTGAAGTTAGAAGGAAAGTTTTGGGGATAAAATACCGTTTTTTGCAAGGAGAAACAAAGAATTCCAAGTAGGAATCTAGCAACAAGCTGAAAACAATATGCTTTGAAGAGTTTCCTTGGCGGACTTCCTTGTCGGGGTTGAAGAGGCTGCTGTTGTTCTTCAAGTTCACTAATTCTCGACTTGACGTATTGGGAGTATATTCCACAAGCAATCATAGGGGTAAAGAAATTAAAAAGCACAAAAGCGTATACAGGAATACTAAGTTTGTTGTATCGCTTTTGATATTGTTCGTAACACTTCCCCTGGATTAGTTCTTGGTCATCTTTTGCATCACAGTGGAACCTCGGTTCGTTGTTTTCCATGTCCAAAAAGACACTTGATAAAACAACTCCAAGCACAAGCCAAAAAACATTTGCTGTAAAACTAAACTTGTTGACTGTTTTAGGCGCCAGAAGCTCTCTAAGGGATTCCATGATGTACTTTTGAGTTCAATCGAAACTGTCTGGGGCATTGGGATAAGGTGTGGCGGAAATAGATATAGTTTTACACTGGCAAACAATGGCAATTTGATCCGCAAAACTTACTGGAGTTGATGGTCTTATCAACCTTTTAATCTGTTTGAGTTTCTGAGTTAAGTGTCACTTTTCACCGCTGAAGACTTTGTGTACAAGTGTATTCTTTGTTTGTACTTTTTGTTAGGCAGTGAGTGCGAAATTTGTAGTTCCCGTTTATTTGCTGACCTTGTCGTTGTTTTATTTCATTGCAAAACGAACGGTTCGATTTACGTGATTAATGATCAAGAACGAGTGATCCGTAACTTATATTTTTGTCTCAAGGGTCAATCGTTGTAGCGACGTTTGAGCCAGAGTCTATGGTTGTCCTCTGGTCTAACCATTCAAATGAATCCTTTTCAAGTGTACTTTCATGTTTTTTCAAAGTAAATTTAGCATATGCGAATGTGTAAAACAATGTTTTTCTCTTCTTCTTCTTTTCTGTTTGGACCCTTGTCCTTTTTCTGTGACGCACTGGATTAGCCAGACGCAAAAGCAGAGGAGGGCAAAGGGATTAGAAGATCGGATTGCTTCATTTACCAGATGCCTAAAGTACACGTGATCCCAGTCGACTTTCAACATTCTCAAGGACTGACAATTGGACTTTTGATGGGACGGAGGGGGAGGGGGAGGGGGTGGGGGATTTTCCAGCAAACAAACTTATAATTAGACCAAAGTATTACTAAAAAAATTGATCCTAGCAGAAGACTTTTGAAAAAAATCTAGCCAAAACCATAACTCGCAGCTTGAAAGTCAAGTGGTCAAACGCCTTAGCGGATACCTCTAAAAAGGACACCTAGAAATGATCCTGTCTTTCGTGGGTCCTGTTTCTTGACTCCAAGCGGACACCGCTAAGATGTACCCTTCGTTCCACAAGTCCCAGCGGAGTCCATTTGAGGAAGAGTCGACCATCTAAAAATACAGAACCTCTATAACTCGAACTCGGAATTATCTCGAATTCCTCGAATTTATCTGAAATTTACCCCGGTAACTCGAATTCCCCGCTAACTCGAACTATTGTTCGTTTCCCTTCTGAGGAGGTGTTTACATGAGAAAACTCGCACCGGTGCGAGTTTCATACCGGGATGACTTTTTTATTTCGTATCGCGTTTACATTATGACTGGGTCATTTCATATCTCGTTATTTGAAGGTACACTTCATGTTGATAAACTACACGTAAGATTCAAAATCGCAAACATTACCGGCAGACCGATTTCACACCGAAACAGGTGGTCGTTTCGCGTTTACATGATACCGTTGCGAGATTTCGTTCCGGAGTGAAATTCTCGCCCCGGTACAAGAACCGGGGTGAACTCACGCCGGGGTGACTAGCGCCGGCATGACATTTTGTGGTGGTACCATGTAAACAAATGTAGAGCCATGAGAGGGAACCGGAGTGAACTCGCTCCGGGGCGAAAGTCACCCTGGTGTCATGTAAACACCCCCCTGATTTCGAGTTACCGGTCGGAAAAAGAGCACACAACAATATTGAAAGGTATTGGGGGTAGTTCTGAGTTCACTGTTCTTCAACGAAGAGGCCATGTATAGTACGTATGTTTGGAGTACCAAAGGAGAAGCAAGGAAAGTATTTTCGACAGCTACAGTGTCGGGAACAGTGTACTGATCATATCTTATATTACCCTTCGGGATTGTTGCGTGCACATTTTTCCGACCCTTCTCGAAATAGCTGAAAAATGCAATGTAATGTTCAACATTTGTTGGAATAGGCCAAGGTGGCTAAGTTTCGGTCCATAAGAACGTAAAACCAAACGAGGCCAATATACAGCCATCTTCATGGAACAAACTTGATCAATAAAGGATCTTCGGTTTCTTGCGAGACCAACGACGGGTATCGCGAGCTGCCGGCTCAGGTAGCAAATCAGAACACAAGAATCGTTTTATCTCGCCATTCATGGATTCAGCTGTATAAACTGAGCGATAGTAATGGGACATTTGTCAATCGACAAATGTTGAACTGCATGTTATTGATCCAGTGATGGGTAATGGGTTATTCTTGCAAGACTCTACCATACAGAGATTTATACACTAAATTAACTCTTTATGTCAGATAATGATATCTTAGGACAGTTAAATAAAATTGATTATTTTATTCTTGTTGATTTCAGCGCAGCTTTTTTACAATTCATTTGACTGAAAAGTAACGACTCAATTGTGTCGTTGCACCATGCAAGCCTTGAAATTCAGCATGAAAAAGCTTTTTCCCAAAGCACAAATTGCATTATATATAAATATTAAATTTGCTTTAGAAAATAAATAAAGGATAAAAAAAAATTGCTCAAATTTCTTCCTTCAATCGTTTTCTAGTTTGCATGCTTTTATGTCAAATACCTTTAAAACTCCGAAAAAATAATATTGGCCTTTTCTGTTATTTAACTAGAACCAAATATCTTAAGATCGGTTGAGAGAAGTCGGGTAAACAATGCAGCCTTGATACGCCAAACAAACAAACACACAAGTGTTTAAACTTTGACTTAGGCATGACGACACTATACTGGGTAGCTTTCCTTACGTGTCGGCACAAGAGAGAGTTATTTTGCTGGGACCAGCAGTAAACATGCCAGTGGAGAATCAAAGTTGCATTGTTACATAATAAGGCATTTTATTCTCATTACAGGCATAAGTAACCATGCGACAACTCTTGAAAAGAGAGAGAATAGATAAGCGAGTTTAAAAGGCTAAATTGTTTGAATCTAGAGACGCCTGACACATTAAGTATTTTCAATACTTGAGGGCAGGCCACTGAAATTAAAGCACAGAGGAGAAAAGGAAAGGAAAAAAGTTATGGACCTTAAAATATTATAGAATTTTTCCATAAGCCCTAATTATTTTAATTCCCTAAAATGACATCCATCTTGAAAAGAAAAAAATGTAGAACCTTAAGAGGCAGTAAGAAAATTGTATGGACTTAAAGAAAAAGTAATCAACGATTTTTTACTTTTCCTTTATTAGTACCAGCATAGGGCTACGAGAATTCTCCTTAATTTGAGTCATTCCCACAAGTGCTGTCAGTACAAAAGTATGAATGTTTCATGGTGTTACTGAGACTAATGTTGGTTCATGATTGATGATGTTATAGTGCAAGAACTGTTCGGGCTAGTGTGTGACATTATTTTGGGAATCACACCACTGAGGTCATCTGTAACACCAAGAAACTGTCAAAAAGCAGCAAGAGATTATAAGTCAGTCCACTACATAGTATTTTATGGACAAAACATGTCTTGGGAAAAAGGCATTAAAATAGTAAAAGCTCTGAGATTCTTTGCATAAAAACCCATTATTTCAACAGTTACCAAAAATGCAGTGTGGTAATCATCTAGAGTTCTTGAAATACTGGGAATTTACAAGCGATACTTCAGATGACATGATGACAGACTAACTTACTTTGGCCTCTTTGAACTCTGTGACCCATAAGGCCCTTAAAACCATTGAAGACACTAAGAAGAAGATCCTAAACTGTAAAAGCCACAAACTAAAGGCACAAGTAAGGTTTTTGCAACAGTGATTTCGTCACGTGAATTTCAAGTGCAAAAGTTACCAAGCAATGGCAGTTACGACGACAATAACATTGGGAATGGCACGAAGCAAGGATCATAAAATGAACAAAGTAATGCCACAAAGATTTCGATTCCTTTAAAGGCCTTCCAAAGAACAAACACTCAAGAGTTGGCAACCGAATATTCGCATAACACAAGTAAAAAAATCAAAGGTCCTTAGGCAATTGCCCATTGTAATGTCGTCGAGGCTGCGAGGACTTTAAATGACAGGAAACAGCAGTATTTTGGCATCAGAAAACAAGTTAAAAACTTAATTTGCTACGCCATCAGTCAACAGGCAAGTAAAAAAAAAACTATGCTCGCCAAAAACTTGTAGCAAAAACGAGACTTCAAGACTATAATCACCAGGAGATTGGCTTAATAGTCTCTGAGACCCCAAATTTTCTACTACATCTCACTCTTTCAAGACATTTGCCATGCCTTAAAAAGTGACTTCAATTTGTTATTTTTAATTTGCGTAGCCTATATGCAAATATTCCTTGTCAGAAATAAACTAAATACAAATTACATGGCCTCACATTTTCATAAGAAAATGAAAATCCCCAACCCATAAAAGGAAAAAAGAGTGGTCAAAGAACATTCTTTGATTCTGAGACAAAAAAAATTCTGACAACTATTTACATCAATAATACTGTACAGCAAATTCTTTACAGCAATAAAGCAAAATATTTAGCTTTCTGGTTAGCAACACAAACAACACTTTGCATGAAAGAAGTACAGCAATACTGACCACTACTTATTAAAAAGCATTGAAGTCGGAGAAAATAACTACTTGATTAATATTGCAAAGGAAAACGGTTTGATAAAACTCAACAACTTTTTTTCTTGTTTACAAAGTAAAAGGGACAAATAAATGAATCTGTTACCATTTGAAGCTACAAGAGTGCACCACAACATAGTGTTAACAACAAGTAAAACAGATTTAATGGCATGATGCTAGACTACTTTGTTTTAACAAATTCCCATTCACATAACACAAAGTGTTGTTGATGTTTACACCAGTGATGGAAAAACATAACATTGTAGCAGATTTTTGTTAATGATAAAAAACTACAACCTGATCAATTTATGAGGACAAAACTAAAATTAGTTAAATTGGTTCCTAACTTAAAGGTCTATTTTGAAACAAGTAGACGTCAACATTAAATCAAGATAGCTACTCCTAAATCACCAGCTCAAAATCCCGAAGTCTACCACTGCATCACTCATTTCTAGCTTTGGCCATCCCCTCTTCCCAAAAACGTCATCCCCGGCATGAAAAAACAAATTAATAAATATTTTTGTGTAATATCCTATAAAAATTTGGCAAACGTTAGAATTCTTAAAAAAAAAAGCATTTTTGTTTCTTTGCTTTAATTTGAAAATGGATGGTGAACCTAAAGTACCCATTCTTCAAATATATTTTATTCATCTTAAAATTATTTTATCTTACATTAACTGATGATTTGAGGGTTAAGGAAGCACAAAAATGCCTGGGATACACAAGGAAGGGGTGGGCAATGTATGAATTGACTGATGCATTGAATAAGACTACTAAAAAAACACTGATGATAGATGTTACCACAACTGTGGGGAGCTGTGCTGATCTGGCTGAGGAGCAACACCAGAACTGAGAACAAAACAACAAAACTTTATCAAAAATTGTTATTATCATTATTATAGATACACAAACATCCCCCAAATTGACTTAGAGCCATCTAAATAACATGCATTTTCAAATGAATAAATAACAGTAATATTCACTGAAGTGGAGGTGGCTAGTTGTGGCTATTTACTGAGCAGCAGTATCTTAGTATATACTGAAACAGTGAGATAATTGAGCACAAAAATGATGGTTTTTAACTAATTTACTGCTGTCAACGATTACAATTTTGGCGCCCAAATGACCGAATGGCTACCACGTTTTCTTCCAAACACATAAAACTAATGTAGGCATTTGTCCAGCTATTGTGGAAGGAGTTATAAATTCTTTCTGTATTTGAAACCATACTGTAAAAAAACTATTAACGTTAGCTTTAAGCGTATTTATGAACATGTCAGCTAAATAAAGTAACATGACTTAATTTGCATTTGTAAACAAAAAACTATACTTTATACAAATAACAATACTTTAAACACAGGATACTCTGAATGTGGATACGAAGCTCTGGGGGTCTAAGTACATGTATTTCTTAAAGTTGGTTCTACCAAATAAATAAATAAATAAATAAAATAAAAAAATGCACTTTATTTGAGTGTCAATGTATTTAGCACGAAAGCACTAATTGGTGACTGTTATCATTTTTACGTCTCCTACGGTCATCTGAGCCACGTGAAGGTCTACCTGTTTGTAGGGCAAAGGAAGTACCTTCATTTCTTAGTTACTTTAAGACCCTGAGTATTGGTCCAGCCCCAGGAATAGACCCCGCGACCTCCCACTCTGAAGTCAAACGCTCTGCCGACTGAGCTAACCCTGCCAACTCAGTTGATTGGGTCAAATGGCCACCATCATTAGGTGAATGATGAAAGGCTAAAACTCAAAGCAACAGCTTTTTAATCTGTTTATGGTGGTAATTTGACTCTATCAAATGAGTTGATAGACCCAATTAATTTTGTTGGATCCTGTTTGAGAGCATTAAATTTTTTTCTAAGCTCACCTTTGAAAGCTTTTAAAAGAAGGAGAAGCTACATTGATGCATAAAGGAACTGAATTATGATGACGACTTGTTATAAACTTGTAAAGTGATTCTGTAATAAGAAAGAGAAACAAAGGCCAATTTAACAATCTTCTTTTAACAAATTTAGGAGAAAAAAAGACAAAGTCACAAAAAAATATTTTTACAAACCTTTTACGTGAGATACCATATAAAGATTTGTTTCATAGCTGTCATCAAATTTTGATGGACAAATGGGCTCAAAATCTGTATCAAAGGATGTATTATTTAGGAACTTGTTTTGAAAGAATTTTATTAATATAAAAAAGGAGCACACGAGCGAGCGAAATTATGGGGTTGGTTAACATATCCAGATTGAAAAAGACAAAAATATCCACTTGCTAAAAATTTGCCTCTAAGTGCAAATTGATGAGGAGATATAAGCACCATCATGCTCTGCTGACTCCACGTAAATCCTTCTAAAACAGGCCTGGACCGTAATCGTTACAATCCAATCTCCCCAACAATTTACATTAACAGACTGATTTCTGGCAAGGGGGTTTTTCCATCTTGCTCTTTCTGAATATGCTAACAAATCTCATAATTGAACAAATTTGAATTTTTGTGATGTCACCCTTCTTGACTCTATACTAAACTGTACCCATCGAATTGTTACTATAAGTCAAACTTACCAGAGACGTATTGTCTGCCGGCAGGTGTGGTATGACAACACTTGCACATGCAAGTGTGAAATCTTAATCTTCCTTCATCAAGGTAAGGGTGTGACAAAGCATCCGTACAAGATATTCTCTTTTTCTACAATGAAGATAAAACAAAATATTTTTTAACTTCTTCTGATGAATTATAAATAGCATTAAAGGAAACATTTAAACACACATAAAAATGTCATGACCCAACAATTACGCCAAGAGAGATTTTTAAGTAACACTTACAGTTTTACATGCAACATGCAGTACTTTAAGGCCTGTGGGTTGTACATTTGTATACCTCTGCATGTAAAAAATATTTTGTTTTGAATGTTGTGAATGTGAGACTTACAGGATCAAAAACAAGCATCCTACAGAGCAGATGAACAGCTTCATGGGTGGCTTGATTGGAAAGGTTGTACAGAGTGGCAAGAGCAGGCTGCAAGACAAAACAGGCCAATTAACATGTATAGGACAAAACCAACAGACACATGACATTACAATTCCCCACTCCACAAACTCTGAGGGGAATGGGTACAAGCTCTCAGCACAACGATTTCTGGGATTGTTTGGGTGGACAAGCATTTCTTATGATTGGTTTTGGTTCTGTACTTAGAACTATGCCGGCTTTTGACTCAAAAAAGCATATTCTCAACCAGCTACCGATTGACTTTTTAGTCCAAGTTTGATATCCTTCAATGAAAACGCAATCGTAAGAAATTCTATCCTGAGAAATTTCACCCTTGAAGCTTTTAAAAGATACGCTGCCAACTTGAAGGGAATTGGCATATGATAACCTTTTAATTATAGAACCGTGCTTGACCTGTAGTCAAGCATATCATTCTGATTACAGCGCAACTTAGCCAATAAACTAAATGTTACTGATCAGTCATACTCCTTCTAAGCTGTGAAAGTTCATCAAAATCTTGCAAACTGCCCCATGGTAGAAGCTAAGGACTCGTAGCCTTTATTATAACTAATGCTTGTCCAACCAACTGATGATCCTAGAAATTTTTGCACCGAAAGCTTGTACCTTTTTTCCCTTATAGTTTCTGGAGTTGGGAATTTATTACTAAAACTGACTTGTCTTTGACTAATGGGAAAAAATCCAATTTCACTTCTCCATACAGGTGTTAAAACTATGACCTTTTGGTTTGCCCTAAAGATGCTCTATCACTAAGCAAACAGGAGACTTGTGAGAGCTACACCCACCAAACTAGGTTCATGTCACAGCCATACTGCAACTGCCTAGGAGTGGAATGTTGAATGTGCTAACACTCTGTATGTGCAATGATAGAAATAGTGGTGGTGCATTTTAATCCTGGTGAATATATGAGAAAAGATCATATAGGCAGCCCAGGAGGAAAAGTCTGAGTACTCCCAACAGATGTCGAACCTTTTGACCTTTTGGCTTCAAATCCAGATGTTCTACAACTGAGCTTCGATCAGGGAACTTATGGGAGTACATATGACTGACTAGTTATGCGGCAAGGAGTAATCCTGTGAGTGCTAATGTAGCTCATAGATAAAACCATTCTTCTTTGGTTAGAAAATAAATGGTGCAGTAATTTTCCACAACTTTTGGTTGGGAATAAAATGGAAGACACAATCAGATACACTCCCATAGGTTTACTAAACTTACTGCTTTATGTCCCTTCTGAAGAATATACTTGGTAGCTCCCTCACTGGCACCGGCACGGCAAAGATCATCAAGACTAGGTGTTCCCAACAGATCAATAATAAGGTTAAGCTGCAAATAAATCAGGAGATATGCAATATGAAAAGATTCATCAATCCATATGAAAATTGTCATAAAAATATATTCATGAAATACATGTAGTATTTTGAAAGGGATTTAAATCTTACAAAGTTGCTAATCAAATGAAAGATTGTTACAACAAAGGAAAGAATATAAAAAAGTAAATAAATATTAGGAGGGGAACTACATTGTACAGCTACTGAAGGTTAAAGTTGAGCACTTCATATATTAAAAACTATTATTTACCTGCTGAACTGGACTCTCAGCTTGGAAGAGAATCTTTCTACTCATGAGCTCGGCAAAGATACATCCCACTGACCATACATCCACTAAAAAACAAAATTAAATTAATTAGCGGGCAGTTTAAAGCAGGGTGCTTAAAATTTAAAAAATAATAATACCAGTAATTAATTTAAGTTACTTAGGGCCAGGTACTACAACCATCATTACGCTTTACTAAATTCTTTGTTTTCTCTTCAAGAGATTGGGAAATCTTCGAAGGAGGGACAAAAACACGGCTACAGGAATGTTACCTAAGAATAACTACATGTATAGCACGTCCGATGTCTCTCAACCTATGAAATCCATGGTGCCCGATGAAGATTCTGTGCAAGGACAAAGATTTTCTTACTTGTGGCATAGCAAATACATGTACTTAAGCAATAGGAAAAAATAAAAAAAATAAAAAATTGACAACATGATCTAGGCATTTTCTTGATTTTTGGCTTTGGGTGCTGTAAAGGAGCATACAGCACAAAGCTCTCATGTAAGTAAGAAGATAGGACACTCCTTTATAAGCTAAATAAGCACTGTCTAAAGTTGGCACAACCTCATCCTTTCTGTTGAACATACCTTCTTGACCATAGTGTGTTGCTCCAGCAAGAAGTTCTGGAGCTCTGTAATACTGAGTAACAACCTGTAAAAAGCAGACCATCGATGCAACGAGACTTTTAGAACATGCACAGGAGAAAACTGGAAAATTAAAAATTTCAACCCCAAAAATTCACAAAAATCAGGGTTGCCATTAACAGCTGGGGACTTTGAATAAGTTCTGTACTCAATTTTGCATCAAAATTTCAACTGCAAATGTGTTCCATTTACCTCCTGTGTCATTACTGCACTCTCGTGAGGTTCTTCTAAACGTGCAAGACCAAAATCACAAATCTGAGAAAAAAAAAAATTTTCCCTTTGTTAGAAGAAAAAAATTATGTATTATTACAGTAAACTAAGTTATTGTGATTATTGTTCGAATAATATATTAGATTTAGAACAAGGTATTAAAAATATTGTGCACGAAATCATAACTATTTTTCAAATCTTGTTTTTATGAGCTTCCAATCAGGAATGGAGCTTGAGGTCACAGATCATGTGCAAAATGTTCCTTAATAAGGATGTCCTAAGTTTTACAGAGAGAATAACTTCCTCTAGTGTGGATGAGACTAGGACTAGGACCTGTATAAATGTGTTTCATGGATGCCTTGACAAAATCAATTGCTGTCATAATCCTGGATGTACCTGTTTTTAATAAAAGAGACCCCTCTGGCAAGGCTCTGTGATGTTAGTATAGCATTTTCCAGATTAGGAGCTGGTTCCTCACCCACACAATCATATTGCAGGGGTTTCAGTAAGCAGTGATTTTGTTACAAATAGTTATGGTGAGTCCTGGGACTCATCTTGTGAAAAATCATGAGTCCCAGTTCAAAAACACGAGTACCTGGGTCTTAATGTAACCACACAGTTAATCTAAAGACAGACTCCCACACTCTGAATTACAGTTTACTGAAATTAAAATATATTCCTTATATTATCAACAGACTGAACAAAGACTAAAAGAAATATGCGAGAACAAGAACAGCCACAGAAATCACACAAATAGGATATTCTACAAAAACATCTTCAGATTGCTCGATTGATCTTTATGTCCTGTGGGACGCAGACCACAAATTATTTTGCGACGTCTTTGGGGATTTTTATGTGTCAGGGACGTAGCACGCAAAGGTAACAAAATCACTGAGAAAGCACTGATGGCTGATGGAATGCATTCGCTACTTTGCTCATAGAAGTCGGCTACTTTTTGTTAGAGAGAAGACACAACTAGTTTAAATAGCATCGTAAACAAAACACGTCATAAAATTAAATCTGAATGAAAATGTAATTGATGATGTGTTTTCATCATGTAGACAATATATTTCAGTCAATTTTTCACAAGTTTCTTTAAAGGTTTACCCGGAATTTTTTTTACAAGCAAAGTAGGTAATTTAGTTTTCATCATTAAATGATGAAAACTAAATTACCTACTTTTATTTTGTTCATTGGTTGTAGGAATTGATTAAATTGTGTGGCTGACAAATCGCAAGTCGAATGAAGGCTACATTTTGTTGAATGAAAAAAAGAAAGCTGCTCTTTTGTCCTCAATTTAGTCCCCAGAAAGCTGGAGGCGTATTTTAGGGCTTTGAAATTTCAAATTCTTCTTGGGAAGTATGCCGCCAGAACCCTCTTCCCCCTTCAAAGTTGATACAGTCGGTTACTCTATCCAAACCTGCTGGCTACTTCAATTTTTATTGGAACCCCTGATATTGAGTAAAAACATCCTTCAACTGGTAATATCCACATGATGACCACATAAAACTTCTAGAAATCCTTTCAGGGTTATCATTAAGTGCCAGCAACCAGCTAATTCAATGGCAACTTCAAATTTTGAGCCCCCTTAACTCTTTCAAGAAAAATGGGTTAGATGAGAGAGCGAGAGTCTCAAATTGCTTTCAGTGAACTTCCAAGCCAGCAGCTTTAATATTCTAGCTGTCTCCTTTAAGCTTAATGAGAACCCTGCTTTTTAAAAAAAAAACGGTAACTTTCTTGTACTCACTTTTAAAAGACAGTTACTGTTGACTAATAAATTGCCAGGTTTAATGTCTCTATGTAAAATTCCAGCAGAGTGAAGATACTTGAGTCCTGAATAATAACAAAAATAGGAATTTATTACATTGGCATGGTGTGATAAGACAGTTCACATTCACTGTTATACGTACAAGACCTGAAGGACCAGGGCTGTCAACTCCCCACATCTTCAAATATTGAAGAATTGATAGGGAAGGGATGATAGATGATGTCATAATGCACAGCACATGACATCATTTGTGCAAAAAATACTCTTTGATTTCAATCATGACAAATTTGCGATGACAGAAAGAGGCAAAAAAGATGTCGTTGGCATTGTAAAATTTGAGCGGCTAATTGGTTCACTTCTCACTGATCCAACAAAATTATTATACTACGATGACATACCTGAGTTTATGAGGAGACTTTTTGGTGTTAACATTAAACTCAAACAACACAAAATGGTTGAAATTTTATTGCCAAAAGTCGAGCCTACTGAAGAATTGGCAAACTCCAGCGATTATGGGGGAGATTTCGTATTCTAATCTGGTACCGGGAGATACAGTCCAAAATCTGGAGTCTCCTGGATGTTGACAGCACTGTGTAGGACTCTGTGTAAACCCTTCAGGCACTGATACTAAAATACAATTTATTTCTCTACACTCTCCTTCATAATTCTGTCAATACCAAAATAATATATTATATTACTCTTTTGGTATGGACAGAATTGTTTTTAAACACCCAGACTGTGTTGATGACATTTTTCTTCTACGTAGAATTCTACTATCTTGCATAATTTTTACATACCACAGGATGTAAATTCTACCTGCATGATTACAATAGAGACACTGTATGTGTCATACTTAAACATAAAAGTTGAATCTCGCTGAACTGTATTTTATTTATGTATGTAGAATTTATGTCAATGTGGACATAAAACTTATGCGACAGTGGAAGTCTACCCTCACATGTCTGTTTCATTCATTTGATCAGCAGCTATCCAAATTTCTTGAAACAATGGAAGAAAGATTTCCAGGAGAAAAGAGTTCAATGCCCAGAGGATTGGAATAAAAAATGCAGCCACCATTTTGTTTTGGTGCACCAACGTTGCTCCTGTAGCCTCATTGTGACCAAAGTATATTCTCATAACCATTAAGTCAAGTTAAGCAATGATATCAAAATGAGAAATAACTTCCTCATCACCTTTACGGTTCAGAGGCTTACTGTTTCTATTGCACCCTTCATGGTGATATACACAGAAACATGGTGAAACACACAGAAGATGGTGAAACACACAGAACACTTACCTCTTAAAATTTGGTACAGAAAAACCTTAACATGATCTGAACTAAGAGGTTGAGGGGACACAATAATTTTGTGCAGGTCAGACTGCATTAATTCTGAAACTATATATCTGTTTAGAAGGTTAAGGTGAAAAAACCATGTGCAATTCAAACATATAAAATTTGTTATGGGATTAGGAGTAATAAATTACGTATTTGAGGACTGGGCATATAATGAAAATTAAATGAAAAGATCTTAATGATATAATAATGTATAGTTAGAAACAATACTTTATAAATTTACCTTTAAAATAATATTGAAAATTCCAGTCATAAGACTACTAAGTATATTCTGAAACAGTCATTAAAATTTCCTTGAAAATTAAACAAAGAAGATGTGATGAGTTTGATAATTTTCATTGTGGATTTGGTGGCTTCTTGTCTGCATAAATTTATAAACTTAAACTAGCCTAATTAGCATCAAACTTTACACCTCAGAATCCATATATGACAATGATGTTACAAGTAAAATTATTTCTCTTCCTTTAGCATCCAAAGTTTCTTAAGAACATTCCAAGTATTAGTAATCATTGTCAATTTAAAAGTTTCTCAACCAAGTAACATTTTTTGCTGAACTGGAAGGGCTGAATCCTGAGAGTTGAACATCAAACATTTATCATCACTGTATACATTCAGCTTATGAAGGGCCAACAGGTGGTTTTGCACAGCCTGCCAGATTTCAGGCAGAAAATGATTTCCCGTGATACTCACACACATAAGTTTAGATATAAAATCATTCTTGGTATAATTTCAGAGAATTAGAATGTACAAGTTTAAAGTTTGTCGTCTCCAAGATCCTCAAAAACCCACCCCAACTTTCCTTAATTACTACCCGTTTAGTTTCAGGTTCTATCTCTAACTGGGTAGTGTCCATTTACAATATCACCCTAAACACAACTGGTTCCACATTTTGATGGTGGAAAGAAACTTGTGAGATTTTCTCTGCAAGTATAACAGGAAATCTTTTCATAAAAATACAAACTCTTTTGGCTGACAACATACTGTTCCAAAAAGACATAAACTAAATTTTTGAGAGAAAAAAAAATTGGAAAACTTTGTTTTTAATAATTATGTTTTTCCTGGGATCTCAGTGAGACAACAATAATTAAGAATCACAAAAAGAAACTATATAATCCCATGAAAAGCTGAGAGTAACTTGCCAAGCTGAAATTTTTGAGAATGCAAATTACCACATACCCAGCAGGAACAAGTACTGCTTTATTCAAGTTTTTAAAAACTGTTTTCTCTCCCAAAACAGGATTCAAAGATTTAGCAATGACAATAGCATTATTGTTGATAAAGCCACAGTATCATTGGCACCAAGTAACTATACTCTCAGCAACAAGAATTTTTTCATGCCAGAAACAAAGCAGTCAGTTACATGTAATCACCTCTTGATATGTGTAGTCAAGTGCAAACTTTGAAAAGGTGGGCTCTTACAATAAAACGAATGTTTCTTTTAAGTAGTGTCCTACACAGCCAGAGTTAAAACTGTTAATGTGAAAAATTAAATTCATACTCTTTATCAACATTTATTTTAACTCTGATTACTTTGGCTGATCGAAATACTTTTTTGAAAATGAATTTTAAGGAGCACAAAGGAAAAATAGCCTTTGTTCTAAAAAAGAGAAAAGATTTTTAAACACAATTGTTGCCATGGTAATATTGACAGCTACCCTTATAGCTGGAAGATATCTTTCATTCCATTCAAAGTGATAACAACACTGGCATTAAAATTTTTGTAAAATATTTTGTTAAATATAATATCCAGGAAGTCCAGTCTTGTTGCTTTCATTTTACAGATGTAAAATCGTTTTAACCGTGTATTTTTCATGAAGGAATTTACTAAAGACATTTTGTAATACCCTTTCAGTGATGCCTGTTTCAAATACAGCTTTAACATTTCTCCTGACAAACACAAGTTATCTTTCACTCTTTCGAGGATGAAAACTGAAAAAAAATCATTTTGAAAAAAATTGATAATACCATATCAAGTGAACGTATTGTTCCATAATTTAATAGCAAAGTATTTAGGAATTGATCGTCATACTCAAAACGTTAAAATCCATTTATAGAGCAACATATTCTGACATTAAAAGGATTTAAATTTGTATTCTGCTAAGAAAGATGGATAAATTTCTTGTAATTCGTTTGAACATAGTGTTGGGCTTAAAATAACTCTGATTTTCACAGGATTAAGAAATTGAGATGGCAAGTGAAATCCAATATGTAAAATAAGTCCTGATATATCCAGCCTTTTCGTTTCCAACATGCGAAGACAGGATATGGCATAAAGGAAATTGCCTTTTGCCATAATACCCTCAAAATACAGATCTGCTATTTCGGACCGGAACTTGACGTTACACAGAAAAGAAAGCCGAACCTTCCGACGAAGCGACTAAACTAGTTTCCGCTATTATCGACCTACAGTGTAAGAAATATTTTTGAAGAATCAAACAAGTCGCTTGTTCAAGAGAATCAGTTAATTTGAATTTGTCTCGAACGAAATTATAGCCAGGAGATAATAATTGGCACTAAAATGTAAGCGTCGGCAAACACAAAGCGCATATTGCTGAGCAACAGGTGGGAGTTGAAACAAGCCCGATCAGAAAGCTCTATTCAAAACCCCACAGCTTGGAAAAGTTCAAAATTTATGCCATACCCAAAACCACAAGTATTCGCCTTTTCATTGTACACGTAAAATAAAACACCCTCTAGGAGGCCCAAACCTTTCTTTAATTTATTTCTTGACTGACTGATATTAATTCGTGGAGGAGGTTTTAATATTTAGAGCGAAGTTCAAGGTTTTGGGTTTAATTCCTGTTTTAAAGTGTCCTACAGAACGCAACTTCCTTCCATGGAAACTTCGTGAAACAGCAAATTTAAGCGACAGGAGGAATATAAATAGCCCCTCCTTAACAAAAACTCTGCCTCAAATTGATTGTTGTAAGTTTTATTTTTGTCACGCTACAAAGATAAATACACCTTACTTTCGATCTGCTTTCACACAAAGGATACATTTCTTGAAAGAAGTCTACATGGCCGGGATGAACAATGTCCAAAGCAGAAAGTACCTACGATAGAAAAATAATAATCAGTTCATATCAAGGCACAGCAAAAACTTCACTTGAATGAAACTAACAACACCGAAGAACGCCACCGGTGCTCTTTGAATAATTACGCTCGCCAACCCGGCATCTTAAGAATAATGGGGGCATACTAAGCCAAGAAAAATGAAAAACATGACTCACGTTATTATGTTTGAAGAAACACAACATCTTAAGCTCCCTGTAAGCCCTCTTCGAAGACGTAAGACTCTGAAAAACGTTGGGCATCTTCTTCAGAGCGACCCTCTTTCCATTTCGCGGATCTGTCACAGACCTGTGCATTGTACATGAAAATATTGTCAAAAGAAAGCTCAAAAAAGTAGCACAAAAGAAATTTAAACCTCGAGACTCACCACACTACGCCAAACGCTCCATAACCGATAGGTCTATCCGGCTGAGTTTCTTGCTGCGGTTGTAGAGGGTAATGTGACCCGTGGCAGCCCTTCGACGGCTGTTGGGAATGCGTCGAGGGGAACGCCATGAAACTCCGGCTCTTGCACACAGCCATTAAAGACGCGATGATTCTGCAACCCAAATCATTCTAGTTCCATGGTGTTGAGTTACGCCTCAGAAGCGTTGCATGTTCAGCAGCTGGCTGAAAGGGAAAAGGAGAATCACTTTTAGAGAAGGAGCGATTTCCTCTTGCATCCCTTCGCCGGGAACGTTGTTGTAGCGAGTGAAACTGCTGGACTTTCGAACGCACATGTGGCGGTGGCTCA